ACTTTTGATAATATAATTAAGACTATATAACATCTTCCCTAAATAATGCAAACTCACACATAGCATTTGATACACTGATACCATCTTATGACCATGGGACTAGATTTAAAGTTCTGTGAGGACAGGGCTCATGGCTGTACCGTTCTGTTCATTTACCCCAGTGCCTTCCATAGTACTTGAAACTTGGGAAACATCCATTGAATATTTGTTAAATACATGAGTTTAGCACTGCTCTGGAAGCTTAGGCAAATTCAGTTCAAAATGAAGTAAAAATTAGATTTCAAATAATGGAAAAGAAGAGGCAAAACTGTTATTTGCAACAGTGTGATTATACACCAGAATACCAAATGAAACAAATTTAAATGGAATAGTAAAATTAAGAGAGTTCAGCAAAGTGGCTAAACAGAAGATAAATATAAACCAAAGAATGGTTTTCTTGTGAACTAACAATAACTACTTACAACAAGAAAAATAAAGCCTTTATTTACAATATTAGCAAATGCATAATTGATAACCTTGTAATATTCTTAATAATTAGTGTTGGAAATAAAAAAGCTATAAATGCTTACTGATAGATCTACAAGAGGCATTGAAAAATTAGATAAATGTGCCATTTCTCTGATAAGAAGACTCAATATTAGTTTTTCCAAAATAATATACTTTCAATCAAAGTACAAATGGGATATCTCTAAACCTGACAGGATAAGTCTCAATTCATTTGAGGAAAAAAAAATGGGCAAAAAGGACAATAAGAATATTTGAGAATAAACAAGGAACTCAAGCAACAACACAATAAAAAAACAAATAACCCAATTAAAAAGTGGGAAATGGAGCTGAATAGACATTTATCTTAGGAAGACATACAAATGGTCAACATCACTAATCATCAGGGAAATGCAAACTAAAACCACATTGAGATACCACCTCACCCCAGTTAGAGTGGCTATAATAAAAAAGAGAGAGAATAACAAAAGCTAACGAGGATGTGGAGAGAAGGGAACACTTCTACACTGTTGGTGGGACTGTAAATTAGTACAGCCACTGTGGAAAACAGTATGGAGATTTCTCAAACAACTACAGATAGATGTAACATACGATCCAGGAATCCCACTTCTAGGTATATATACAAAGGAATGGAAATCATCATGTTGAAAGGATACCTGCACTCCCATGTTCATCACAGCTCTATTTACAATAGCTAAGATATGGAACCGACATAAATGTCCATCAACAGATGACTGGATAAGGAAAATATGGTATATATACACCATGGAATACTACTCTGCAATAAAAAGAATGAAATTCTGACATTTGCAGCAACACAGATGAGCTTGGAGAAAATTATGTTGCGTGAAATAAGCCAGGCACAGAAGGAATAATACTGTATGTTCTCACTCATAAGTGGGAGCTAAGAGAGATAGAAGGAAGGAAAGAAAGACCACAGTGGTGCATTGGAGTTGCAGAGGGAGAGAGCATACCTAGGGTTGCAGAATGAGGTGGAGAAGAGGGGGAAAGGGAGGCCGAGGATTAATTGGATGGGGGACAAAGAGAATAATAGTAATTTGTGGTAATGGGCATGCTGATAGTGTTGATCTGGCTATCACATCTTGGCACAAATGGTGATGGTCAGCTTTGTACCCCATGAATATGCATAATCAATTTTAAAAAATAATATTTTTAGGTAAATTATAGCTAATGCTAACATAGCACTTACCACTAATGACTTTAAATATATTCAATTCTCACAATCTCTGAGGTAAATGCTATAAATATATCAAGATTACAGATAGAGAAATTAAAACATAAAGATGTAAGTTACCCAAGGTCACTCAGTTAATTCATTGGCATGTTGGGATTCACAACCAGGCAGTCTAGCTCTAGAGTTCATGTGGTTAAATACAGCGCCAAATTGTTTCTCAAGGTTAATAACATGAGTATTTTCAAATCAAATATAGTATCATAATATAAAGCTCCACAAATAAAAGTGTGATGTTTAAGAATAAACCAGTCTGATAACAGTTAACATTTCCTGAGCATTTATTTTGTGCCAAGCATCCTCCATATATTATTTTGCTTGCCTTCACAATGACCTTGTGATATAGGCACTTTGTGTTCATTTTAAACATGACACACTGAGGCATGCTGGTTAAGCAGTCTACCCAAGATTGTGGTGATTGTGATGCCGGGAAGTGGTGAAATTGAGATTTGAACAAAGGCTTATATTTATACTGCTTAACGTTCTTCATTTGTGAAAGTGCTAACAGGTACATAAAGATATAAAATGTGATTTAATAAAGGGTGACGAGGCAATTAATTAGCTACTTGGGAAAAATCAATAAATAAGCTCACATCAACATAAACTCCGATGAATTAAAGATTTAATATAACAATCAAACCAAGTTAAAACTAAGAGAAAGGGCCGGCCCGGTGGCGCACTGGATAGTGCGCCGCTTGGGAAGCGCAGCGGCGCTCCCGTCCAAGGGTTCGGATCCCACATACAGACCGGCTCCCGCTCACTGGCTGAGCGAGGCGCGGGAGCAACACCGAGGCTTGCGATCCCGTTGCCGGTACCCGGTCCGGTACGGGGGCAACACTGAG